CTGTCGCAGTGTCTATGGGGGAAGCTGCAAAACCTCGTGTTTTTTGCGACGTAGATGTCGCAGTGTCTATAGGGGAAGCTGCAACACCTCGTGTTTTTTGCGACGTAGATGTCGCAGTGTCTATAGGGGAAGCTGCAACACCTCGTGTTTTCTGCTGCGTAGATGTCGCAGTGTCTATAGGGGAAGCTGCAAAACCTCGTGTTGTTTGCGACGTAGCTGTCGCAGTGTCTATAGGGGAAGCTGCAAAACCTCGTGTTTTTTGCGATGTAGCTGTCGCAGTGTCTATAGGGGAAGCTGCAACACCTCGTGTTTTTTGCTACGCACAGTAGTACTTGGAAGTAGTTTGTGCGACTTTTGTAGTACACAGTAGTACTGGGAACGACTTTGTGCAAGCTTTGTAGTACAAAGTAGTACTGGGAACGTGTTTGTGCCAGTTTTGTGGTACACAGTAGTACTGGGAAGTGCTTCGTGCAAGCTTTGTAATACACAGTAGTACTGGGAACGACTTTGTGCAAGCTTTGTAGTACAAAGTAGTACTGCGAACGACTTTGTGCAAGCTTTGTAGTACAAAGTAGTACTGGGAAGTAGTTGTTGCAAGCTTTGTAGTACACAGTAGGACTGGGAACGACTTTGCAAGCCTTGTAGTACAAAGTAGTACTGGGAAGTGCTTTGTGCAAGTTTTGTAGTACACAGTAGTACTGGGAAGTGCTTCCTGCAAGCTTTGTAGTGCAAAGTGGTACTGGGAAGTGCTTCGTGCAAGCTTTGTAGTACAAAGTGCTACTGGGAAGTAGTTTGTGCAAGCTGTGTAGTACACAGTAGTACTGGGAAGTACTTTGTGCAAGCTGTGTAGTACAAAGTAGTACTGGGAAGTAGTTTGTGCAGGAAGTGCTTTGTGCAAGCTTTGTAGTACAAAGTAGTACTGGGAACGTGTTTGTGCGAGCTTTGTAGTACACAGTAGTACTGGGAACGTGTTTCTGCAAGCTTTGTAGTGCACAGTAGTACTGGGAAGTAGTTTGTGCAAGCTTTGTAGTACACAGTAGTACTGGAACGTGTTTGTGCATTTGTAGTACACAGTAGTACTGGGAAGTGCTTTCTGCAAGCTTTGTAGTACACAGTAGTACTGGGAAGTAGTTTGTGCGAGCTTTGTAGTGCACAGTAGTACTGGGAACGTGTTTGTGCGAGCTTTGTAGTACACAGTAGTACTGGGAAGTAGTTTGTGCAAGTTTTGTAGTACACAGTAGTACTGGGAAGTAGTTTGTGCGAGCTTTGTAGTACACAGTAGTACTGGGAAGTGCTTTGTGCAAGCTTTGTAGTACAAAGTAGTACTGGGAAGTGCTTTGTGCAAGCTTTGTAATACAAAGTAGTACTGGGAAGTGCTTTGTGCGAGCTTTGTAGTACACAGTATAGTACGGGGAACGTGTTTGTGCGAGCTTTGTAATACAAAGTAGTACTGGGAAGTGCTTTGTGTGAGCTTTGTAGTACACAGTATAGTACGGGGAACGTGTTTGTGCGAGCTTTGTAGTACACAGTAGTACTGGAACGTGTCTGTGCATGTGTAGTACACAGTAGTACTGGGAAGTGCTTTGTGCAAGCTTTGTAGTACAAAGTAGTACTGGGAAGTGCTTTGTGCGAGCTTTGTAGTACACAGTAGTACTGGGAACGTGTTTGTGCGAGCTTTGTAGTACACAGTAGTACTGGAACGTGTTTGTGCAAGTTTTGTAGTACACAGTAGTACTGGGAAGTAGTTTGTGCGAGCTTTGTAGTAAGTGCTTTGTGCAAGTTTTGTAGTACACAGTAGTACTGGGAAGTAGTTTGTGCGAGCTTTGTAATACACATTAGTACTGGAACGACTTTGTGCAAGCTTTGTAGTACACAGTAGTACTGGGAAGTAGTTTGTGCAAGCTTTGTAGTACACAGTAGTACTGGGAAATGCTTTGTGCAAGCTTTGTAGTACACAGTAGTACTTGGAACGAGTTTGTGCAAGCTTTGTAGTACAAAGTAGTACTGCGAACGACTTTGTGCAAGCTTTGTAGTACAAAGTAGTACTGGGAAGTAGTTGTTGCAAGCTTTGTAGTACACAGTAGTACTGGGAACGACTTTGCAAGCCTTGTAGTACAAAGTAGTACTGGGAAGTGCTTTGTGCAAGCTTTGTAGTACACAGTAGTACTGGGAACGGTTTCGTGCAAGCTTTGTAGTACAAAGTGGTACTGGGAAGTGCTTCGTGCAAGCTTTGTAGTACAAAGTGGTACTGGGAAGTAGTTTGTGCAAGCTTGTAGTACACAGTAGTACTGGGAAATGCTTCGTGCAAGCTTTGTAGTACAAAGTACTGGGAAGTAGTTTGTGCAAGCTTTGCAGTACAAAGTGGTGCTGGGAAGTGCTTTGTATAGTGTGGAGTGGGGAGTGTAGAGCGTGTAGAGTGTGGAATGTGTAGTGTAGATTGTAAAAAGTAAGAGTGTAAAGTGTAGAGTGTGGAGTGTGGAGTGTGGAGTGTATAGTGTAGTGTAGAGTGTGGAGTGCAAAGTGTGGAGTGTGGAGTGTAAAGTGTGGAGTGTGGAGTGTAAAGTATGGCGTGTGGAGTGTAAAGTGTGGAGTGTGGAGTGAGGAGTGTGGTGGGTGTAGAGTGTTGAGTGTGGTGGAGTGTGGAGTGTAGAGCGTAGAGCGTGGAGTGAGGAGTGTAAAGTGTAAAGTGTGGAGCCTGGAGTATAAAGTGTAGAGTGTGGATTGCGGAGCGGAAAGTGTCGAGTGTGAAGTGTAGAGTGTCAAGTTAAGTGTAGAGTGTAAAGTGTAGAGTGTAAAGTGTAGAGTGTGGAGTGTGGAGTGTAAAGTGTAGTGTGCGGAGTGTGGAGTGTAAAGTGTAGAGTGTGGAGTGTGCAGTGGGTAAAGTGTGGAGAGGGGCAGGTGGTGGTGATCTCGTTGTGCTGGTGATGTTGCTGTGCTGGTGATGCTGTTGTGTTGGTGATTTTGTTGTGATTTCATTGCGCTGGTGATATTGCTGTGCTGGTTGTGATTTCGTTGTGCTTGTGGTGATGTTGTTGTGCTGGTTAGTTGTCTCTTTGTGAACCGCACGATGCATACAAACATCGGTTCGTTTTCCTATTGCAGAGGTTTGCACTCGTAGTCCAAGAACGTGAATACATTCGGGTTCGTGGCTTCCATCTTGTTCTATAATATATGGGATAATCCTTCCCAACTGATGTTCATATTTTTCAGATGGGTAGGTATACCACCAACCAGACCCCAACAAGCTACCAAAGTTGTGGTGAGAACGCACTTGATACGGAGATGTGTCCAACAACGTCCCGCAAGGTGATGCCCCAATTTGTTAAGTTGGCTTCATTCACCCATATTTTGCTAGGCTTTATGTTAGATATATCATTTATATAAGTGGTGCCGCGTAGTTGGCTAAGTTGGTTTATAACTTTTATAACCAGGGCGTACTAGAGTTTATGTGGTTTTTACACGCAGAGACAGATCTAGTGTCTAGGGAGGCCGTTATCGTTGCAACATCCCAGCCTTCTCCCGGCTGCCTTATTAGTTTTTTAAGTGAGTTTATAAACTGTGAAAACTGATTTCCGAATCTAGAGATGTTGACCAGAAAGCTTATAGATATAAATTATAGCTATAATTAGCAGAACTAGCGGCCTGGTTATAAAGAACGGTTCCTATCTTCAGGGCTCGCTTTGCATGTGCTGCGAGGTTTGACCCTCAGGCTATTTCCAGCCTGCTATCGAAGCTCACACTAGACACAGTTCGAGTGCGCATGGCAAAGGGGAAGCTATTCTGAGATTCCTAACACTCAGTGAAATCATAAGGGGTGTATCAATATATATATATAGTTCATACAAGTTATAGATATGTTATTATATTTTCATATATATATATGTATACACACCTGTTCTTGGACCTATATTATAGTTACTTGTACTTGTTCCATGTTTCTCCCGTGTCAGAAGTGATACCTTGAATAGTCCCCAGGGTGGACGCGTCGTTTTTGACGTTCCAGTTACGTTTGTTGATTTAGTTGAATCAACTTAGCAAGTGGACAATAACCCTGATTAGTAAGTCGCCATTTCTTGGATTATCCCATGTATAAATGATAAATGGATGAACTAAGCCTAGTTCCGAATCAGTTACGATTGGTGAGGTGATCCTCCAAGTGGGTATATACACCGTAAATGGTTTCTTTTGTACTTATTTGCGGTAACTTTCCTATTTGGTGGTTGGGGGCATATTATGTAAGCTCAAGCCTTCTCGAGTCTCTCGAGGGACATGCATCAAATCAAATTTATGTAGCCTTGCCGAGTAGGAAAAGAAAAGCCGTTCAATTGCATAGTCTTCCACAGTAGGAGAAACAGATCGTAAAAGGGAGATAGTGGGAGTATTCGGGTCATTTATTGTTTGCAGTGTTTTACGTTGCGAACATTTGACATTTGTTCCTTGCTGTTGTGCCTTTCTTGTGTGGGGGTCTGTGGATATCTTGATGCTGAAATTGTTTGTTGATGTTTGGCTTCATGAGGTGAGGATGTAATTAGGTCCGTTTGCTTTCTATGTTTGGGGTTAGGCCCATTAGGATCCATTAGGCTCTACTTCGGTGGTGGTTTCATCATTCTGGTAACTTTTGATGTTGTTACTGTACTATGGATTTGATTGACTGCCCTTTGTGGTGGCAGTTGTTTGTATGCATGGGCCCAAATTGGTTCTGCTGGGCCCTTTGCTTTATGTTCTTGATCAACCTCTTCGTGCTCGTTTTGCCTGGAGACCCAGATTGGGATGAGATGTTGACAGATGTTGTCAGGTTAAAACGTGTCAACCATCACTGATTGGTGGTTTCGAACATTTTTTATTTTTAATATTGGGAATAATAATCCCAACTGACTATATAATATTTTTCCGAGGGGTTGAAACCACCAACCAGGATTGATTTGAGAAACATCCCCTTGAGTTGATGTCCACAAATTCAGCAGCACTTGCGTTGAGCATTGGCTCGATAATTTGTTTAATCCGATACCCCGGGAGCCACATTTGAGCTCTTCCCAGACATCGGCATGGCGCTCTACAAAAAGGTAGTTCCCTGTGAGGTGAGGAGCGTCTCCAGACAAGTCTGGGAACATTGTGGAAGTCCGGCCATGCGGCAGTTTGGTGGTCCAGTTCCTCGATGGTCCGCAAAAATTAACGCAAAAAGTAGTTCCGCCACAAGAAGTTAGCCAGATGGTCCGAGCTGTGCTTTATCCCAAACGTGGTTATGAATGTGAGATATGGAGTCAATCCCAGCAAAAATGGATGAACGGAACCATTTCAGGGATCTACCAAGGCAATCAAACCCCAGATTTGGACTTGTGGGGTAATTTGAAAAGCAACTCCGACGATTCTGACCAGCTTGACCAATCCAACAGATTTTTCCAGTATCCAATAGGCAGCGTGAAGGTCGACTTCCAAGTGGCTGGTCGGCAGGCATCCAAAGTAGTAGCACCAGAGAATTTTCGGATGTTGCTCCGGAACATCCACAAGCCCGATGTCATCGCGGAGGTGTCCGATGATGGGTGCTCTATGACTCATATTCGTACTATGACTACTGCAACTTGGCTGAAAACCTTGAATTTTAGCATCTGATTTCAGCCAAATTCTTGGGTCTGTTGTAGTACCATAAACGTCAGTCTCTCCATTTGCTTCTTGGCACATCTTGGCAGTCTTGGCACCATAGGTGCCAGGTATTCAGCAGTAGAGAAGAACATATTGAATATGGTCTTTCTTTTGGCATGTCTTTGCCAACCGTCGAGCTCAGGGGTTCAGCCAAAGTTGGGATTTCAATATGATATGTTTAGGAAAGGATGGGGTCACTTTGGAAACCATAGTTGTTCGCCGAGCACGCTGTGGGATGTTGATGGTTCAGAGCAACATGGCTGGTAAATCCCATAAGGAAGCCTTTTTCTTCAGGATATTACGGGATATTATTTGAATGAACCTTGTTGGATGAATATCTGTCCCAGCTTGGTAGTGATCTCTCACAACATGTTTCCCACCACGGAACCTTCGAGCCGGGCATGGGGTTCAAAAAGAGGTATTTAAGACACTTTAAGACTATTTATGGCATCAAAAACAAATACTTGAGGGATAATAAACAGGGAATTAACCAAACATATTCATAGATCCTGCACTGGTGCAAAGTCTTCGCCCTTTTCACATCCTCTGGTTTTTGAATCGCCCAGTCCTCTGGTCCTCTGGTGTCTTGGTCCTCTGGTCGCTTGGTTCTCTGGTAACTTGGTCCTTCCATCCTTTGGTGACTCTGCGTCGTACAACAGCCTTATAACCAACCCTAAAGAAGCCTCAAATGAAACCTAAATAAACCCTAAACACATCCTGAATAAACCCTAAACTAACCCTAAACCAACCTAACGAAACCCTGAACCAAGCCTAAATAAACTGAACCAAAAGCTAAACCAACCCAAATCAACCTTAAACTAATCCTAAACCAACCCTAAACAAACCCTAAGCAAACTTAAACAAGTCTTGAACGAAACCAACACCTACCCTGTATAAGATTATAAGATATTATAAGTATGTAAAAGAAACCTAAATAAACCTTAAGCCAACATTGAATAAACCCTAAACCAACCTTTATGAACTCTAAACCAACCCTATCTAAACCCTGAGCCAACCATACATAAACTTTGAACCGACCCTAATTAACCCTGCACCAGCCTCAACTAAATCCGAGCCAACCTTGAATATTCTTAAAAAGTCTTGTGTACCAAACATCGAAAGTCAGATTTTCGACCTTCAAAGTGCTGGAAACGGCAGCATCGAGCTCCAAAATGCTGCTAACAAATGCTGACAAAATGTTGACAAAACATGCACATGAGGTCCAATGTCCTGCAAAACCCCACCAGGCGAGAGGTTCCAGTTCCGGTAAGTTGCAAACACCAGGAATATGTTTTTTTAAATCCTTGTTGCGGTTTCCTCTCCAGAATCGGGGGGGCTGGCACCCCAAAAACCTTCGATTCTGGAGAGCCCTCCTGCACCCCTACTTTGCTACAGAATCAAAGACCATGGGCTGGCAAGCACCCAAAAACCACCCATTTTGGACATTTTTGGACTGCAGAAAGTGTACAAAACCTTACATTTTGGTCAGGGAACTGATTTTGTAGACATAAGGCTGTGGACATCCTAAGGTCTTTGATTTTCTAGTAAAGCATGCCCCTCATGGGGCCTAGTAGGTGAGGGCTTCAAGAAAACAAAACCCATGGGTTGTGAAAGGTTGTGATGTGACCTTAGCATACTCCAGCAATTTCTAGATATTTGTAGCATTTTCTAGATTTTTCTAGCCTGTTCACATTTTTTCCTGGGAAAATGCTACAAAAATCTACAAAATCAAGAACCTTGTCACCAAAATTTGTGCAACTAATTTGGATTTTTATTTAAAGAAATCATGCTATAAAATCAAAGGCCGGTCATTTTGGACATCTTGGACAGACTTGTAAAATCTTGTAAAGGAACTCATGCTACAGAATCAAAGACAGGCACTTGGAACTTTGGAGGGACTTGTAAAATCTTGTAAAACTTGTCAGCACATTCATGCTACAAAATCAATCACAAACAAAATATCTCTACAGAATCGACTCTAACACAAGTCTCTATCATCCTGGAGGTTTTTACCCAAAAAAGACCCAACATTTTTTTTTGATGCTTTCAAATGTGAGGTTATTGATTTTGTAGAAAAATTGCCTTGTCAGATGTTTTTTTCTGTGGAAGGCTCTTGGTTTTGTAGAAGGTAACATCCTAGTCTGGAGAGCAGACATTGATTTAGTAAAGATTTTTTGGGTGCCTGACCTTTGGGCCCTCTACTGAATCGAGGGGTCCAGCACCCCCCCAATTGCAAGGGGGATTTTTTTGTTGATGCCTCAAATGCCTTCAATATCTATTTTTTGATCCCCGGTGCAATATTGTTCCGCACCTGCCAGGTGAGGATCTCTAGATTTTAACAAAGGTGCATCTGCTGCTCGTCTTCTTCTTCTTCTTCTTCTTCCTCTTCCTCCGTCTCCTCCTCCTTCCGCCAGCTCGTCGTCACTGTGGGCACCAACGGATCCGGATCTCACAGCAAGCGCCAGCAAGCTGGACGGGAGTGTGGGCACGCAAGGGGCCGGAGCCTATAGGGAGCTCCGGCTCAGTCTGGGCACGCACGGATCCGAACCCTATCGCAAGCTCCAGGCTGTGCACGCACTGGCCCGAACACATGCCACAGAGAATGTCAGTAATTAATACCTCGCCAGGTAGAATCCCAGATAGATTGTCAGAATAGATGCCAGAAAGGGTGCCTAATAGAATGTTAATTAGGACAAATTCCAAGTAGAATGCCAGAAAGAGTGTCGAATTGAATGTCAGCGTATTATCCAGAAAGAATGTCAGATAGAGTGTCTCAAGCAATATATATATAGATCAACTATATATATATATGTATATATATACACGCATATATATATAATATTGATATTGATATACATATTACATATGCCATTTTTGATTCCAGATGATGTGTCTCAAACTATGTCAGAATGCACTCGAAGTGCAAAAAGAAATTGATACCTTGCATATATATATATTTCAATCCTTGAGCCCCCTCGAGCCCCAAGAATTCATCCTGTGGATGACTTCTGGATCTTGGAAGTCTTGGGGTTTAAGGGATTTGCGGGGAAACCAGATTCAAAACCCAACTGCCAAGGTTTTGAGCCCCGCATTACATGCCGGCCAAAACCTCAAGATCCTCAAGCCAAAGGTTTTCAGCCCCGACATGTGAAATTTCTACCGAAATACCTAGCACCCCAGGTATTTAGCCAGCACCCCATATATTTGGCAACCATCAAAATACCCAAGGTACCAGTCCCGCGGATTTCATCTTAAGTCTGCTCTGTTCTTCTGCATCAAACTCTGCGCGCACTGCTTTGCAATACATATACTTTGTTGGAACTTTAGCCCCTACGGTTTTTCATCTCCACCCTCAAGCCAAACCACAGGGATCGGCCTTGCCCGTCTCCACATGGTCCGCTGCTTCGGATTCAGAAGGCTTCATTCCTTGAGCTTGGAGGGTGGTGCGCCAACAAAATCACAAACCCATAGCAGGAAACAGGCAGGAGATCCAACGTCTCTGAAACGTATTTCAGAGGATCACCAGACTGTTGCTTTCACATTCCCGGTTTTCATCCAATTAATTCACATCCAACTCTCAGCAAACCATGGTGCATCACAAACCAAGGGTTTTTCAGACGTAGCAAGGTCCGATGTCTTGAGGTCCAAGTCCCTGTAATGTTCAAGATCCATTTGGTTTCATGCACCAGGTTTCAAACTCTGTTACTTAATGTTGCAAACATGAACGGTGGATGAAACCGTAGGCGTCAGGGGGTAGAAGCAAATGATGGGCAAAAACCCAAAGTGGCTGGAAACATTGGGCCCGAGACTCATGAACCATAAAGTGTGAATTGTTTCCACGCTGAGATGTTGGCGCGTAGGTTTTCATCAGTTGTTGTGATTTTTTTGTTCCAAAAACGTCAAGCAAACACTTCCCCACCTGCCACGTAAATGTCTATTTTAATGAAAGGTGTGACTCCCCTTCTTCCTTCTTCCTTTTTCCTTCTTATTACTTATTCCGCACACACGGAGTACTTTAGAGAGATGGGACGGAAAAATAAGAGGCCGCCAGCTGCGCACTCAACTTTCCATTTTTGAAGGAAGTCTCGCAAAATTGTTCCGTTTTTGCTTTTGTCAATATCGAATATTGCGATTTTCCAAGAAGTCTAATTAGCAAAAATTCTTCGTTTTGGAGCTGTGAGCTTCCATGTTTTGAGGATGAAGTCTCGCAGAATTGCTTCCTTTCCGATGGATAGACAGACAGATAGATGGATAGATAATAGAGAAAGAGATTGAGCTAGACAGATGCGCCCCAAAAAGCAACGCTCCAACCACCTTTCGGTCCATCAGTCCGTGGGTTCGCTTTGCCATCCGTGCATCACAACAACTGACCTCTCCTATAGGTGTCCAAAACTTGAAACTTGCGCGGTACTACTCGTATAATGACTATGTCAGAATAATTTGTCAGGGTGGGGATCACACGAAGTGAAGTAAATCTATTTTTTTGACCTTAGATTCTTATGATTTTTGCCGTCTTTGCTGGTTAAAAACTTTGCCAGTCTACCAGGCAAGCCAGGCAAGCCAGGCAAGCCAGGTGCCTTCGCTATGCTCAGGGCTTGTTGTGAACAATGGCAAAGATATTGTTGCTGGTGCCGTCAGTTGTTTGGTCGCGCAGGTCCCAGTCACTGGAAGTTTTTTGGGACCCACAGTTGGGAACCTCGCGGGTGAGGCCCATGTGAAGTTTGTGAAGTCTATGGCAGGAGTGGAGAAATGCAGTGTACCCGAATGCGACAACCTGTTCAAGTCAATCACAGGTGGCAAAGTGTGCCCAACATGCCAATTGAAAGGCTTGGATGAGAGGATGATCCCCCAAGTGATTTTGGCAGTGAAGAAGTGGGTCGGATAGATGTAGATGAGCCAGAACGTAGCGAAGCTTGTTGTACCTCTTGGTTTGTTCTGATTTGGAGAATAAACACTTATGATTCTGATATTGTGTTGCAATGTTGATGCTTTACTGTGATGCTTACTGCGAGAGATTGCGAGAGGTATGAAAGCTGTGGTTTTGCTGTGACCAGTGACCTGTTGCGACTTTTCCATGGCTTGGCTTAGCCTGTAGCCTGCCAATGTAAAGATGGCCTCACTAAGAAGGCCTGACTGCGTCTGAGGTCACGATTAGTAGATCCACGTAGATGACAGACAGTAGGTGCAGATAGATTTTGAAAGCTGCATGAGGAAAGGAACACTGCCCAGTATGCTAGTTGATGCTTGTCGCAAATCTGTCCTGATGTTGGCAACTGTGTTTTTACCATTGATGCTTTGCAGCAGGGTGTTGGGCCAGTACCGTCATCAGTCTTTTACAAGATTTTAAAAGGTGTTTCTCCACTGGCTCGTTGCAACCGCTTCAAAGGTTGTGAAGACGTCGCTGATGAGTTCTTTGAGAAGGGCTGGAAAGCAGCGGTTTCAGTTGATGACCAAAGGAAATAACGATACCAAAAAAACATGCTCAATACCGATACCCAAGTTTGGGGGAAATTAAATTAATGTCTATCCCGTGATATTAACAATGGAGCCTTACATGGATTTTGGCACAGAAAATGCGAAAAGAAGCAAAGAGTGACTTTGAACCAGATGTGTTCAAATTGATGAACGGCGCGGTTCATGGCAAAACGATGGATAATGTAGCACATCACCTTGATTTTGAATTAGTATCAACAAGTGTACCAACCAGCCAGATAGCGCTGAACCCATCAATGCTGGCAGGCGTCGAGTTGGACTCCCTAGACAGCAGTGGTTGTTTATTTCTAAGAAAATCATTCACAACCGGATAAGCCACGCAGGCTATTTGATGTTGTTTTTTTCAAAACAATTATATAATATTCTGCGGGGTAGTTTGAGACCATGCCAAGCGCCGAAGCATTCTTTTGAGTTGCGATAGTTTGCGACTGAATGCCTGGCAAGAGAAGTGTACCAACAAGGACTTTTTCAGTGCCACATGATTTCGCACAACTGATGTTTCTTCTTTGCGTGGACAATTTTTTCTTAGGATGTCGCAGATCTTCACTAGAGTCCTTCACATACTTCCTTGTTGGTTGGTAGTTTCAGACATGTTTAAGATTGTTTAAGTATGTTTTTACGTTTTAAAATGTTTTAAATATTTCCATCTCTGGACGACTCTTGGGACGATGTTCCCGAATGTTTTTCATTTCATTCAGTGGGTAGCTTGAAATTCAACCACCAAACAATTTTTGAATATATAGACGGATGAGGTGCAAGTGCTGGATTCAAACGTGCAATTGCCATAGTGCATACTGCATCATGTTTGTGTGGACAAGGTTTTCCTTAGGATGTTGCAGATGTTCACTGGAGCCCTTCACGTCACATCCCTCCTTCTGGCTGGTAGTTTCCATGGTGTTTAGATATGACAATTATTGCCATCCTGGGAAGATGATTGGAAATATTTATCGTATCTGTCAAAGGGATCCAAAGGGTGGCTCAACCATGTTTGATGCACTAACAAACACATTTAACATCGCCCAAGGGGAAGAACATAAGTGTTCCAAGTCCAAGTTTTTTTGGCAATATTCTAGGCTATATACTAGGTATATATTGCGGTATGCGGTATACATGTGCACATAAACTTCAACCTGATGGAACATGACTAAGTCAATGTGTTCAAACAGTGAGCAATCAGAAGCATCTATAGGCTATTGTTTTTTGTCACCATCATAACTTACTAACATAATACATATAGATGTACATAAGCCAATTATATATACGTGTTGCTCTATGTTGCACTAGAGTCGCCATCATACTCTCAGCGGGCACAAGGGGACCACACCTGGAGGTACAGTTCCAGGCCAAAATCCTGGCGGAACGATGTACACAAAAAGACACCTCCTATGGTCAGGACACTCAGATTGTGCCTGGGCCCCGCGCTGAAATTTGACATGGACTCCTAAAAGTTGCTGGTTGGTGGTTGGTGGTTTCAAACATTTTTTATTTTTCCACAATATATGGGATATATAATCCTTCCCATTGACTTTCATATTTTTCAGAGGGGTCGGTATACCACCAACCAGGATTGATTTGAGAAACATCCCCTTGAGTTGATGTCCAGAAATTCATCCCCTACTAAGCACAGTTAAGAAGATTGGGTTGGATCCCATGCCGGTCGCGCCAGCTTTGGTGGGTGAAGTCTCCCACGAGTTGTGCACTGTGGGTTGCTGGTGTTTAGTGCTGAACCAACACAACCTCCGGTAATCAAACATGGCAATTGAACATCCTCCATAAATGAAGATTGAAGGGTCATAGCTGGCAAAATCGTCTATAAATGGATGATTTTTCATTGCTTCAATATCCACAATCCACTTTTTTCTCCACTTTGAGCTGAGTGGAGCATCCAAATCTGCGTTTGATTGCCGGATGGTGCATGATAAAAGTATATAAAATTGACACACATAGGAAAAACAGTCCATGCAAACTACACACATCAGGACGTAATAAAGAATCATGGGTTCAATTGGGTGGTCCATGCTAGAGACGTGTTGGTTGCTTCACTGTTGTTGGAGATGGGTTCGCCGTAAAATTTGTGTACCTCCCAAAAATGACCTTTTTTGGGAACAATGATGAGAATCCGTTGAACATTTTCACAAGGATGCTCCATCTTCAGACAGGCACAGAACAGCGTACGTCCGAAGGGTTTTGTTTCTGAACGTTGGCACCAGAGGTACCAAACAACTTGAAACTGGTTGGTGGTTTGGAACATTTTTTATTTTTCCATATATTGGGAATAATCATCCCAACTGACTTTCATATTTTTCAGAGATAGGTATACCACCAACCAGGAAACATCGAGGCACCCAAAAAGTATGTGGTTCCTTTACAGATGTCCGGCCGAGTTCCGGCTGCGTCCGGCCAAGTTCCGGCTGCGGGTAATGTGCGTTTGTTTTGCAGCCTTTCATGCTTAAAATTGATTTGGATGTGGGTCAAAATGGAAGACCTAGGGGACCACAGATGTTAGTCTAGTTTAGTAATAACCATCCAATTATTGGGGTACCTAATTTTGACCCATACCCATTTGATCTGTTTGGGGTCACTTGTATTGACTATGGACGATGTATGATACTTGGTGGCTCATCCCACGGCTCGTAAGTGGGTTATGACCCCAGTTATAAGTGGGTTAACCCTACTTATCCCATGTAAATCACTGGGGTTATAACTTATAACCCACTTACGATTCGTGGGATGAGCCTCCAAGTAATAATGTGATGTCTAAAGATTGTGATTCCTCCTACTGATCAGCTTGATCAGCTGCATTCATCCAAAGATGGTTCTTTGTTGGTCTGCTGGCGTTTCAGGGATCACAACCAAATCAGCGAAAGCACTTCCTATGGATTCTCTGTATGGAATCCCAATCCATCCATGCTTTGGCTGTTTGATGTCCCTTTCTTGTTGGTTGGATCCTTTCTTTTGATGACGAATTCCTTTTTTCTTGTTGGGTGATTCAGTGATTCTAGATTTTCTTACGTCAAATCCCACTGATCTTGGCGATTTCTTCGTTTTTCTTGCTCCTCTCCCAATTTCCCTTGCTTAATTTTCCCTTGTTTGTCGCTGAGATGGGTTTGTCATGGTTTGACTGTTTATTTTGGCATACCCTAATTGCCCTGGTCCATCATCATTTTCCCTCTCAAAATACAAGGTTGGACCCCCCTTTTACGATAGCTACCCTCTGGTAATTTAACATAGCTATTGAAAATTGCCCATTTATATATAGTTGATTTACCTATTAAAGATGGTGACTTTCCATAGCTATGTTAGTTTACCAGAGGGTAAGTTGGTTTATAACTAACTTGGTGAAAACTGTTGGGTTGATTTATATACTGGCGTGAATCTGCTTGCCAACTTATTACTGGGGGCCCCATGGGGCCCCTACCTTTTACGATAGCGGGTGCAGTTCCACTATCACTATATAACAAGTTGGTTATATAACTATATACCCATGTAGGGGCCAAACATATCCCAGTTTATGGAGGTTCAAATCCCATATTCATATGTATAGTTATAATTAGTTATAGCCATAAAACGAACCTCAACTGCACCCCCAAATAGCCATGGATGGATAGGGGCTATTCTCCGGTAATTTTGCATACTCGTAGCTAGAGAAAATGGTCCATTTATGCAGATGATTGGTGATTTTCATTGATTTTCGTTAGCTACGGTGGATGGAAGAAATCCTGCACCAGTTGATAGATGGTTTGTTTATCTCATTATTTGTAGGGTTTCAACCATCCAAGGTGGTGCAGGATTTCGTCAATCCACAGAATGTTAAACCCCATGGATCCAAACACTGTCTGAGAAGGTACTCAAGCCTCCAAATCATACCCCAAACACTTCCTAAGAAGGTACTTGGATCCATAGGGAAAGAACTTGAGGCGAAATTCCCCACTTTCAGACCCAAACTCGGTCCGTTTGGCCAAGACTCGCCTATGGAGCTGCTCCCCATCGACACAGCCTGGCTGGTTCGCACTCAGGGGCTATGTTCTGGTGGAAGCAGAAGGGATTTTATGTTTTTTTTTAAGGGATTTACCCTCTGGTTATGTCAAAATAGCTATTGAAAATGGCCCATTGATAGTGGATTTACAAATCAAACATGGTGATTTTCCATAGCTATGTTAAATTACCAGAGGGTAATATCAAACATATGGATAACATTGTGATTTTCATGGGAATTGAATGGATGTTATCACCAACATGGTGGTTTTTCCTGCGGCGGCCTCAATGGCTACTTGGGAAATCCTTGAACTAAATAGGCATTTGAATGGGAACATCATCCATAAGTTGGATATGTTTCATAGCTGTGCTAGATTACCGGAGGCTAACGAGTTTTTGAGATGGGATTCCGTTTCCTTTCGAATGTTTGGATGGATCGTTTGGACCTCTGAGTTCATGCGAGAGTCGAGTCACAAGTTACCCATGACGGGATGGTCAGCAATCCATTTTCATAGGGATTTACATGCTCATTGTAATGATTCCCGTGGCATGCAATGGATGATCATACCACATTATAACATATGATAATCCCAGGGATGCCATTATATATTCCAATTTCCAGTAGTTATATCCCATTTTGCTCCCATGATACTTCCACTAAACTCCATTCTTATTTGTGAAATCACCACATAAATGGTCCTTTAGAAAATGCTTGCCCTGACGTCACCGGGTAAATGTATAGGGGGATCCGCATACGGATTACCGCCAAAGGGTGACTTCCTCATTCCATCCGCTTGCAGCTCATTCCGCATGTGCTGCACACTTGTTTGTACCCTCTGGTTATTTAACATAGCCATGGAAAATAGCCCATTTATAGAAGATTTTCCCAGCTATAAACCTCCATTTATGAGGGATTTTCCACGGCTATGTTAAATAACCAGATGGTAATCCTTGCCTGATGGAATGGGATCTTTTCATTTTGGGATCACGTCCCAAACGTCCCAATGGCCCTGGCGCAACCCACATGGCATTTGTAAAAAATGGATCTATGTCATATGATCTAATGGGGAACATACAGAAAAACATGATTTTTCTATTGAACAAATAGATAACTCCAGGTGTGGGCGATATTTTCTTTCAAGGGTACTGAGGATACCACAATTTGTGGCACCTAGGATCGGCCTTTAAAAAAGCGCCAGCTTTTCGTACCAGGAGTGCTGGGCCGGTGCCTTGCGAGCCACTGGAACTTTGGAGGAGACGATTTTTGGAAGGGACAGGTCACTGGGGGAACAAACAAAATCACATATGGCTATGGATCAATACCTATTAATACCATTTTTAGTGGGATGAACATGCATAAATCCCAGCTATTTTGATGTGAACTACAGGGGTACTATTGGTTTTGGCACACTGCCATATAGATTTTCATCAATTTATATCAATTTACATCAATTTACGTAAATTTACTACTATTTATGTGGTAGGATTTTACTATTCGGCATGTTTTTTGGTGGAGTTTCTATACCAAAGGACCTAGACAATTGGTATGTTTGGTGGAGTGATTGGACCATTGTTACCCCTTACTTGGACTATCAACCAATGATCATGCAACATGGATATGAACAAATATGGGTATCCGTTTTAGGGGAGAGTTGGTTGATATCCCTTTGTTGGCAGATTCTGTATGGAACCAATGGATCCAGATATCAACGACCTAGTCACGGTTCTTCCTTTGAACATGGCATAAACGAAACGCATAGATTTCTCTGCGGAATCGGCTGCCAGGTTCGACTACCGGAAAACAATACAATTACCGGAAAACCATAGGAAAACCATAGGAAAACCATGGGAAAACCATAGGAAAACCATAGGATCTGGTTGGTGGTTTGGAACATGAATTTTATTTTTCCATATATTGGGAAAGTCATCAGACGAAGTCCATCATTTTTCAGAGGGGTAGGGCGAAAAACCACCAACCAGTCATTTCAAGGAATTTCACCATCCTGGCGCCAAGAAAAAACTGTGGGATTTAACATGATTTAACCATCCAAAATTCCAGCAGATTCTGCAGGAGTCAAAGGACATTGCAACGAAGATGGGACTTCATTTGCCCCCGACGCTTGGCTCTTTTTTTTGCGAAATCCCCCTGTGAAATCCATGGGAAGATTGGGGAAATGTGCGAAACAAAAAAATCATAGATGTTTTTTTGAAATCCTTGGGAAGCAATTGGGTAAGGCACTAATTGAAAACTTGGGACATCCAGATAAATTCTTCCATGTTAACTCATTTAAAAGTGATTCCAGCAAGATTGGCATACTGTGGTCGGGAGTTGAAATTGATTAACAGTTTTAATGTTGACTTCAAACATCATGTTTGCTGTGGGAGGTGGCGAGAAAGGGCTGTTTCAAAGCCATCAGTTGGACTCAAGTGATCTTCAAAATATGTTTTGATAGTTTTTATCATCAGTATGTATATATGTATATATGTATATGTGTATATATGTATATATGTATATATGTATATATATATGTATATATGTATATATGTATATATGTATATGTGTCTATGTGTATATGTGTACTGTATACATGCAATACTTGTATATATATATACATATGCGTTTATATCGATGTATTATTGTCTATCACTGATTGTTTTTTCAGAAGTCTTGGTCTTTGGAGATACTCGGTTCTTAGTGTCAAGCGATCTGTGCTTCATTTATCTTCCAAGGCCTAACCCCTTCATTCCAGAGGAGCCGCGGCAGAACACCCTGGCCGATGGTGGAAATTACAATGGAGATGTAGTGGGATTTTATGTGAATAATAATGGGATTTAAGGGGATTTGATGGGATTTCATGCTATTTTAATGGGATTTCATGGGAATGCAATGGGATTTAAGGGGAATATCATCGGGAGGTAATGGGAATAGGGCGGGTTCAATGGGATGACACCATAAATGATAAGTTTACGACTGCTAATGTCGCGACGTCACGACGTAGAGGGTGGTTAGGATTGGGCGAGCGCTGTCCCTGTTATGGTTCCACTTTTCCGGTGAATCATAGTAATTTATCCAGATAAATGGATCTGGATGTGGTCAAACTATACAAATGGGGAGTTTACCAACAAAAAATGTGGACTATGTTGGCATGGCCATGTACCCTAAGGGGCTATTTTTTTTGGTTTGAGGGGTTCAGTTCATCAATCGGACAATGCATGCACACATTGTTTTTACGGTGTCCCAAATTGTTTGTGCGCAGCAACATCGTGAATGAGAAGGACGACAGGCAAAAACTCATCATCCTGGGTTTGAGGTCACCCATTCTTTCCATGTAATATATATATATTATACTGGTTGGTGAGTGGTTTGGAACACATGTTTTTTCCATTCAGTTGGGAATCATCATCCCAACTGACTTTCACTCCATCATTTTTCAGATGGGTAGGTGGCTCAACCACCAACCAGCAATATATCTTAATATATCTCACAAAATTTCTAGTGATTTAATATATCTACATAGTTCGAAATAGAATTAGCCTCTGGTTATTTAACAGTTAGCCATTGAAAATCACCATTTATAATAATAGGTAAACCATCTATTTTTATGGGCCATCTATACCAATGGCTATGTTAAATAACCAGAGGGTAACATGAATTTCTCCTCAACATGATTATCAGAATCAATGGGACATTCCCCAGGATGAAGCACCAGTGTTTTCACCAGGTGTCCCACAGTCAAAGTTGGTGAACCAAGACAACTTGAGCTTCTATAGATATAATATTGTATAATGATATATCTATAGCATAATGATATGATATATCTATATACTATAGTATAATGATATGATATATCTATATACTATAGTACAATGATATGATATCTATATAATATAGTATGATTATATGATATATGTATATACTATAGACCAAACCATAACTGGGTGGAGCATACCCCTTGTCACCGCAATTCTTCAAGCTCCAGGATCTGAGCTTAAAACCCGCTCCCGCAGACAATCCGGCAGGGAGCTCCGACGGAAACGTCGCGGCTGTAGCGACGGCTAGGGGGGCGAGCGCTCCCTGTATATTTGATAAATGAGGTTCTTTTCGGCATTGCATGGGTTGGTAAAATACTATATTATATAGATATAATACTATATTACTATACTATATCATACTATATCATACTATATCATACTATATCATACTATATCATACTATATCATACTATCTCCATGGGTTCTTTTTTTCACTTTTTACCCCAACAAAAATGGGGATACAATCTCCAGCAGATAACCCAAAAAAGGGATAACCAACCCCTGGAATTATCCCAAAGATTCAACGGTAAACTGTTAAACTATTTGGTGGGCTACAAATCAAACTTCTGGAGGTGGATTTAGGATGATTTAGGATGATTTAGGATGATTTAGGATGATTTATTTTCTGCATATGGAGTGGCTGACTCTGATTGAACACAAACACCGGGATGTCCCGAAAAAGATGTTTTTTTTTGTGCGGAACCAACATGGAACTGCGCTTAAAAATCCCCAGCCACGTGCGGTTCCATGTTGCGGTTGTTTTTTCTGTTTTTCCAGGGAGTTGATCAGAGTTGAAGATCTTTCTGGTTGGTGAAATGCAGGCCTATTGGTTTAAGGTTGGCCGTTTGTTGATTGGATCACGTTTGTTTAGCTTATTAAAAACATGGTGTTGTAGACGTTGGTAGAACGAAGACAAGTTAAAGGAGTAGTAGCATGATGAGGGGCATAGGAACTCCTATACCTCATGTGAATAGATACCCTCTGGTAATTTAACATATTTAGCAGTTTGCCATGGAAATGGTCCATTTAATTCGTTGATCTTAATCATAAAAATGGTGATTTTCCACGGTTATCTTAGTTTACCACAGGCTATTCCATGCTTTTGTTAAATGGATATTCCATATTTTAAAAGGATGTATCCCTCAATAAGTCACCAGCTGAAACAGTCTCCAAATCCTGGGTTTCACCGGGATCAATGATGCAAGTACTTCAAGTATCTTCAAGTACCCAACTGTGATTCCGAATTATTCGGAATTATCATGATAATTATATATAAGTATGATAAGGATAACCAACATATAGCTGGGTTCCAACTTCCAACTCAGTAATCTGGTCTCTTGCAATGATCCTCCAAGAAACACCTCTGATGTACCACAGATTTCTTCAACGACTGCCGCCGCCAAGCCGAGGTCGTACCTCAGCTGCTGAGTGTAGAGTCAGGGGTGTCCATCTTCCACCGACAGGATGATCTCTTCAAACAGCCAAAGGCCTGGGTCGAAGAAACAGGGTTGATCTCAATTCTCTCTTCGGGGAAATTTGGTTATGTCATATGTTTGATATGGTAATACATGCTAATATGATGTGGTGATGATGTGATGTAATTATAATATATTATAATTATAGGTCATTATGTTGGATGACTTTGGTGGAGGAGTTAATTGGTCACTTGTTGGCTGTTACTAGTTCTTTCTTTTGTAAAACAGATGTATATGTGATCATATGGGGGGAATACAACATAACTGGTCTCGCCGAAGTCTTCTGAAAGCAGGCTATCCAAGATTACCCATGAAGGTCGGAGCATGTGTTGTTCAGCTAAGCTGAAGCCAATTGTGGAAAGCTCGGGGCGATTTTGCCAGCGACAAACACAGGGATGATTTTCTGGGCAAAGAAGAGGATGGAATCAATGCGGGTTACAAATTGGACATGTGGATTATTTTTCCCATCATATTGGGGTCATGTCATCATCCCAACTGACTTTAACTCCATCATTTTTCAGAGGGGTAGGGCGTACCAACCACCAACCAGTTTTCATGTATGTTGATGGGCCTGTTGATGTCCATGAAAAAAGAAATTTGCCCCACAGAGGCCCCAACTCATGATGGTCTCCACCGGGGAATCTCTGGCGTTTTTTTTGTCGAAATCACAGCCACCCAGAGCTCGGTTGTTACACCCATGTTCCGACCTCGGATCCTCAAGAGATATATAAAAATGGATGTTATGTGATATATACCCGGCCTGGTAAACAGCGACAGTTTGCAAACTGGAAAGATCCACCATGCTATTAATGGGTAAATCGACTATTTCTATGATATAAATGACCATTTTCAATAGCTATTTTGACATAACCAGAGGGTAGCGTTCTCTATGGGGTAGCAAGCAACGGTAGCAATCTCCATATCTCCGGGAATCCAACGTGGCAATATATGGAGAATCTCCGATAGTTGTCCCATTGAACAGCTAGCCATGTTTGACTACCGAAGGCTAGCCATGGGCTGATGAAATAAAACGTTTAGCCGAAGAAAAATCAGCATCAAATGGCAAAACAGAAAATCTGCCACAACATATCTCCAGGAGCAAAACTGATTCCTGAGAGGCACAAGTGACTTTCTACATCTATTCGCCCTACTTCCACCAGGTCGCAGGCTCAGGGGATGATGTTCCTGTGAAAAATATATCCAATGGCCAGAGGGTAACCATAGTTTCTGGGGTGCCATGGGGGTTCTGGGGCACTCCAAGTTGTGGAGTTTTCCAAATGTTAAAATCCCATGAAATCCCAGGGATATGTCAGATATACGTATCAAATCTTATCAAAATCACCTTAGCTGCACCTTATCAAATACGAAAGGAAAAAACCACGGCGCGGCTCTCCCACTGAGGATGTGTCCAGCTATCTCAAGACAGCCCTGTGGTCCAATTGTGTGGAGGAGGTGCAGGGCTGAACCCCATCGAGTTATTATGGCTCTGTGAATGAGGAAACTATGGGAAAGGAAACATGATCATGATGATGATGATGATGATGATGATTATGCACTGCAATTTTGGGGCAACCTATTTTGAGACACACATCTAAGGATATTTGAGGCTGATCCTTTGCAGTTGAATACGTATGTGTTTTCAATATTTTTATCCTCTTAACGATGAGGGATTATATAGAGAATTGCATATCTAAGTCTGGTAGTTGTCTTAATGGACTTTAACGATGCTTTTGGAACCCACTGTGCCGTGGCGTTTGGGCTTCCAATTTTGTCATGTCTTGATCCCAAATCGTCAAGGGTCTCGTATGATCAATTGAATCTACGTAAAAATCATCAGACTCAGTCAGAAATATTCATGTGGTTGGTGCTTTGGAACCATGGAATTTCATGACTTTCCCATCATATTTTGGGAATGAATCATCCCAACTGACGCTTCGCTCATGATTTTTTAGAGGGGTAGGTGGCTCAACCACCAAGCAGTAGATATCCTCGTGGGGCCATACTCTCGTCGAGAAAATGGGTCCCCCATCTCCATGGCAAAGTCTTAAACCAAGGGATACCAAGGGGTAAATCCTGTTGAATCCCATGTTTTTGGTGAATTAAACCACCTTAAATCCATTTCTTGGTGGTTTTCCTGGATCCTCTGTGACTGTTTTGGTGTGTTGCTCTCTGTCCGGTCCTTGTGCTTATCCTCCCAACACTTCAGGCCCTACAGGACTATGCCTACGATGCTCAGATTGCTGGAATGGGATACTCGCCCTCCTTGGCACGTTTGTTCGAAGCGACAGTAGATGAACAAATCGTCAGTTCACAGTGCTTTTACGACGTTTTTAGCATCAATTTATATGGAGATATAGGTGGATATAGATATAGGTGGATATAAGATGATATAAGATGATAAGTGAATAAGTGATGCTTAAGATTAGTTCGAGTCTTATACTACCCTAGGATTCTACGGAGGGGAGGATTCTCATCATCTGGGAATCCCTTGGCAGGATACAGCTGAGCGGTGGCTGTTTGAAAATGGCCTTCTCCTTAGTGCGAAGCCATGCAGAGCCAGTAAGAATAAGGACTTTCTCATGAAGCCATGGTGAAGTGTTTTGGATCTATTAATCTGCTCATTTTGGGTCCCTTGAGGTTTTATTGTAAGTTACCCTCTGGTAATGACTAACAGTGACTAACAGTTTGCGACATAGAAAATGGCCATCGAAATAGTTGATGACTACCCATTAATAGCATGGTGATTTTCCAGTTCGCAAACTGTTATTTTACCAGGCCGGGTAAGTTAAGTTGACTGGGATCCCAAAACTTGATGGGATGAACTCTGGTTAGCTTGAGGGGTCCCATAACAAGCTAGATGAAGGAAGACATGGTTGGTACATGGTTAATAGATATATGGTTAAGATATATGACTTACTAAATGGTTAGATATGGTTAATATGATATGTACTCTGGCATGAAGATTAGTATCAATAACTTGTTGTACATCGCATAAGTTGATGAATTATGGTATACTATGGTTGATTACGGGGATATAACACGATATAACGTGATATAACGAACTAGTTATATAATGGGGTTCCTAAGCCAGTTTCTAACTGGGAAAACTTGATGTACATTGAAGTTATGGTTTTCACCAAGCAACCAACCAGTTCCATGACAGTTTCTGTACTGTCATCAACTGTTGGTCGTGAATGTTGACATGGTATGTCTCTAAAGCTAAGGCCTTCAACTTGAGAAAGTCTTATGAAAGCATCGACATTCCAATGGTTTCTGGATGCTCTTGGACTGCAAGGGCTTGCCTCAAAACATGCCATGTTTGTTTCCCGCTGGGTAGCAAAAAAAACTCAGAAAGAAAATGCAGAACATATCTGGGTCGACCTTGGATGAGTAGTTTAGTACTTAAATATATATATATGTATAGATAGATGTATATTAATACATATATATATATATTATATCTATATTAATAATATATATATACACATTAGTACATATATATATATATATATACTGTACATATATATATATATTGCCATACATGGGAATGTTAAACTACTAATCCCTGGAGATACATCCTCCCTGCTTCATTGACCTCGACCTTTAGGACCAGGATAGGTTTTAAAGTTCTTCAAGAACGGCTAGTGCATGTGATACTTTATCATGATAGCATCTTATATTACTGCAGTCATGATAAGATCCAGACGATATCACAGTTATATCATGACATGTTCCACTTATTGGTCCATAGCTACAAGCCTAGCCACGTCGAACATCCAGCGACACGCTGTATCCCAAGGCAATTACAATACCATCTGTTTCAGGTTCTTGCAGGTTCAAGTTTTATCAAAGAAAAACAAACAAAAACAAACAAAAACAAATGTGTTTCTTTTTTATGACATCATACGATGATAGTTCCTTTCATATTACATGTTTTGTCAACCCTACGTGATAATTATTTGTTCTGATACATATATCATAAACCATCAATGTTTGTCAGCACATGATTTTGAGATGTCACATCTCACAAACTATGATAGTCATATCTCGTTTAACATGTTGTTTTGACATGTCATTGTGCAACTTACCCTCTGGTTATGACTAACATAGCCATGGTATAGATGGCCCATAGAAATAGATGGTTTACCGAACTTAAAAATGGTGGATCTTTCCATGGCAAACTGTGAGCCAGTCATAACCAGAGGCTATCTCTTTGAAGCTTTCTGCGATCCATAAACGCTCCAGGCACTCAGTGGTTTCAACGACAAACTTCATGTGCTCCTGGAGGCATCGGTTCTGTGGCGATTTTGGAAGGAATCTCCCAACTTAAAAACGCTGGGGAAAGCTCCACTTTTTCGATATGAAAACGTATAAAACCATATGAAACCCTTGTTATTGGATTATAAAACCCTGGTTATTGGATTATAAAACCCTGGTTATTGGATTATAAAACCCTGGATTTTTATGGATTAAAACCCTGGATTTTTTAATGGATTTGTTGTTACTTCGCCAACGAAGAACTCCCATTCCCATTCGAAATCACCATATTTTGCTGGTAAAATCCCAACTTGCTGGGTCCAAAAATTCCATCCCTGGAGGCAGTGACTGACAAGATGGTCTCCATGACCAGCGTGCCGGAACACATCTTCGGCCGCTGTTCGCAACAATTTCCATGGTGATTGTTGTGGGGATTTTCATGGGGATGTACAGAAATAGATGGGAAATTCCTTAATTAGTGGTGGATTTTGATATTCTAATGGGGATTTCGTAGAGATATGTTTATTTTCTGATAGGGATTTCATGGGATTTGGATGTTTCTGGCGCTGGACGTTGGCCGATGTCACTATGGATGGTAGGTGAAATCGTCCGGACCTAATTTCAGCTTGACGGTCAGATGTTTTTTAGATTTTGGCACCACAAAGATGAGGTTTTGATGTTTTGCTGGAGATTTCATCAAAGTTCGGGAACTCACTTTGAGCAATGAATTTGATCACTAGCTTGCTGGGATTTGACCACCAAACAGGTGGATTGTGACCATGAAAAACTTGAATTTTGACCACACCACACCAAGAATGGATATTTTCCGAACAAGCCTAGGCAGTGACATTTGAGAGCGTGGATGGATACCATTATAAATCATTATAATATATATATAGGTTTTTTCTGTATTTGGAGGGGGATGAACTCTGAGAACCATACTAACTAGTTTTGATGTCAAAATCCAGGTGCTGCTTACTGTTTTTTGACCCACTGTAGCAGTTTGTTTCTGAAGATTTTCACAGATTCCGAAGGCAAGAAGTGGCCTAAGACATGCCATCCTAATATATATATATATGTACATATACATATATGTACATACACAATTATATATATATATGTATATATATGAATATATATATATATTAATATATATATATATATTAATATATATATATACATCTATATGGATTTCACTATATAGCAAAAATAAATGCACAAAAGCAAAAATCTCTTCTTACTGTCAGCTGGCTCAGGGCAAATCAATTGGACATAATTTGAGCCTTTTCCCTTTTCGCAGTGGGTTCCCGACCATTTGAGGCATTATCCTGGATACTTTTGGAGATGACCTTCGTAATCAGGCAGCGTTTCCGCGCAAGCTGTGAAGAAAAAAATCTCTCCCAAGATCAGCTACCCTCTGGTTATGACTAACATAGCCATGGTATAGATGGCCCATAGAAATAGATGGTTTACCGAACTTAAAAATGGTGGATCGTTCCATGGCTATGGTAAATAACCAGAGGGAATAAACTTTCATTATCTTTTATGATGTTTTCCTCCCAGCGCCATCTTGCTGTTGCGACCTTGCTGCCAGGCCTACCATTCGCAGCCCATCTCGCAAGCTCAGATGCGCTTCCAGGATCTCCTGAACCGTGGCAGTTCGTTCCCAGCACCTGGGACAGCAGCTTAGCTTCCCAGCGGTGGAAAGTCGAGGAGAAAATCCCATCCAAACTTTTCCAAACTTTCGGACTGGGGCCCCAAAACAAGAAAAAAACCAAGTGTTTGCAAAAGAAGACACAGAAAGAAACAGGCATTTATGCAACATAGAAAAACACCTATAGAAACAACATGTGTTGACCCAACAAAACACAGAAACACATGGGTCAAAAAGGATACAAAAACCATATATTTTCCAGGTAATTTATGGTTTGTTT